AAAATGAGAGTTTATCTAATCCAGATGCGCTTTTAGAAAAAATGATCAAATATAAACCAACAGGTGGTACCAGTTTTGACAACGGAATTAAGAAAGCTGCTGAAATAATTGATCCTTCCAAGTAAGTTAGGAATTTATTAAATATAAATTCATATTATATTATATTGATTATTAATATATTTTTTTTTTATTTAGAATAAATGTTGTCATTTTTTTATCTGATGGAGAAGATTCTACTCCAGAACAGGATTTGCGAATTCTTTGTCAGAAAGAAAAGGATAGAGGGTATTTTAATTATTTTAATTTTTATATCTTATTTTTTGCTTTGATTAAATATAATACAAAAAAATTTGTATTGCATTTTTTAGATCATATTTGTATCTTTATACGATTAAGTTTGCTGGCACGACTGGTATAGCTAATACGACCAGTATAGTTGGTGGATTTTTTGGCTTATTTGGTGGAAATTCTCATGGCCAAGGTAGAAATACTAATTACTCTCATGACCAAGGGTCATTGCAAGAAATGGCAAATATTGCCAAAGAATATCTTCCAAAATCATCAAACAACAAAGATTCGCTGAAATGTGAATATGTTCGTGTAATTGATCGGATTGATCTTATTGGCCATTTTTATGAGGTAGCAGAAAGTATTCGAAATTATAAACCAACGTTAATCAATGTTAATAAGAAATAAGGGGCTTAACATTAAAAATAAGTCACCATCTTTTGTTGTGTATATTTAAAATGTAGAAGAATTAAATTAGTTAATATATTATTATTATTTGATTATCATATTTTTGTGTATCAAACTAATAATGGAAACATACATTTGGAAATTCATCTCATTGTTTGATATATCAAGCGTAGATTGAATGTAAATTTCCTTTTTTGACTCGATTCGCAAAAACAAAGTTTTAACGTTTATTGTTTTATGCTACTTTATTTGTTATATTGTAATTAACTCAATGAAAATTTTATCGAAGAACGGAATTATATAACTCATTATTTTTTTTTTCCTTTTAATTTTAAATACTTTCAATTACAATGAATATGGAAAATTTTTTAGATTATAGGATACTTCATGACCCGCAAATCATTAAATGTTTTAGTTTCACTTAATTAAAAACTTTGTTATTTTTATTGATATTAAAAGACCAATTAATATATTGTTCCTTTGATTTTGAACTTTTGATAGAAGCCATGCAATGTGTTGAAAACTTATTATCTATATATTTTTCCTCATGGGAAATAGTTATCTTGAATTTTGGGTTATTCTTACACCCTAAGAAAAATCATGTCAATACCTTATTAGCATTAGCAAAGTTCATAAGCTTTTCTTTGCAGCTTAATAAACAATAATATTCAAAAATGTGGAAAAGGTTAATTAGATCTGAAAAATTATATATTGAGCAAGAGTCAACTTACTAATTCCATAAGTAAAACTAAAAATATTGTTTGTCAACTAATGTATGTAGAATTTCACAAAATTCCAAATTTAAAATTTTCCGAATTCACGTTAATTATTATACAAATATTTGTAATTATAGTTATAATTATAAAATTCTTAAAATATATTGTGCTGAAAAAAAAAAAAAATCAAAAATTAGTTAATGTTGCAAACCATTTCTCTAATAGAACGCAATTATAATATTTTCTCTGTTGTGCGTTCTTTTTTTGCCAAACTCTCGACTGCATTTCTCATCTCAGAATACTACTCCTAAGATCTCATGTTACAAAAGTGAATTTTTTATATTTGAAAATGGAACTGGCATCAATGAAAGCTACCCCCCGTTATACACTGCATTCTTTAACTCGAACTTTTTTCCAGTAGAAACGATCATAATTTCATTTTTTGATCGTGTTTATATTTATCCTGAAAAGGTAAAGTATTTAGTGAAGTTTTGGTTTCTATTGTTTCTATTGTTTCTATTGTTTTATTGTTTTTAATTTTTTTTTTTTTTTGACCAATTTAATACAATTTTTATATTAATTTTATATCGTTGAATTCTGAGCGATTTTCTTATCGATTTTCTTGTTAATATTTTAAATATTTTATATTAATGATCTAACTCTATGATTCAAATATTTGAAAATATGCAACAAATTTAATGGAAAGTTTACATAATAAAGTGCTTAAGATTGTCACCACTGGGCAAATTAAATTTAAGTGGCAAAGTTAAGGATAGGGAATTATGTAATTTTGCCTAGTATCACCAGTGAGTTTTAGCACCCATAAGAGAATGTATAATATATGTTTTTTATTGTAAAAATTATTATTACAAATAAAAATTAATGTTTGTAATAAATAAAAAGTTTTTGAAAAAAATATTGGAATACATGATATGTATATATTATCTTATTATTATCAGTTTTAGTTTAGTTTGTTATAATTCATTATATACAATATTTGTACCACCAGAACAAAAATTTCTTTTTTCTAAATGCAAATGAACAAAAATCCATAATTCTATTTATCAAAGGAAATCTTTCGGTAACACCAAACCCAAAACACATTCATATAGTTCATTCATGTGATATTTAATAAAGTCATGTGCTCATTATAGAGAGATTTACAGTTAAAAATCGGTTTTTTCTTTACCTTTTAGTAATCTCTCTCTTTATCTATGTACGGGGCACAACACAAAAGGTATTAATCTGTATAATCTGTATAATCTGTATAATCTATATAATCTATATAATCTTAAAAAAATAAAAATAACAATTTTGTTGATAATATTAAATAATATACAAGTACAGGAAACTCGTGACAAGATAAAATTTTCTCATCTATTTGTGTTTACTACTATTATTCTGGACTAGAGCCATAACAACCTATACATATTACCGTGTGTTGATTAAAAAAATTCCTTCGACCTCTCTCTCGTTGTTTCGCCGTTTTCGTTTTTTATTCGAGAAGTTAAATCTAAAATCAAGAAAATATATATATTATATTTATATTTATATATATTTAAGAGCGTTTAACAGTAGTTCGTGGAAAAAAACTTCTAATACAAAAAAAAATAAATATATATAAAGATTAAATTTGAGAAATAACAAATAATAGAATAATAAGTTTTTATTTTTTTTTAAAAAAAAAACCCCCTCTAAAGATAAAAAATGCCTAAAGTTAAAGTAATCAAACCAGAGACTACAACTCCTACTAGAACTTCTAGTCGATTAGCCGCAAAACGACAAGCAAGTGCGGATAAAATCATTACAGCCCCTGTTACGACTAGAGGAGGTAAGTACATATAATAATAACAATAATTAAATTTATTAATAATAAATGCAAAAACGAGATTCTAACAATAATAATAATTTATATTATGGGAAATTAAAAGGTAAAAAAACCGCGAAAACACAAAAAAAGAAGAAAGCAGAAACTAATGATAATAATAATACTGAAGTTAGTGAAGTTAATGAAGTTGTAGTAGAGAAAGATAATAGTAAAAGTGTAGCAGAAACAGCAACTACAACTGGCGAAACCGATGATGATGATGCCGAACCTATGGAAACTGTTGCTCCCGATCAACCGTCATCGCAAAGTAATTTTATTATTAATTAATCAATTAGAAAATTATAATAATTTATAAAATTTATGGAATGATTATGAATAATAATGGATAATAATAACATTTAATAATAATAATAATAATAATATTAATAATAATATTAATAATAATTTTAATATAATAGATGCTGTTACTCCCAATGATAACGCTACTACTACCACCACGGTTACTACCACGATGACTACTTCAGCTTCTGATGCTACGACTGCTGATGTTACTGCTGCTGAACAACCACAACAACAATCGTCGACTTAAGGTATTGTATAGTTTACACGTTAATTTTAATTATGAAATCGATTCCTATATGTTATTTTGAAAAATTAGTAAAAAATCGATATATATATATATATATCGATTTTTATCTACTATCTACCATTACTATTATCATTCTTGGGGATCGATACTAATCTGAAAAAAATCGAATTTTATAATAACAATACAAAGAATCGATTGAATTTGAATTGAAAAAAAAAATCAGAATTGAATATATTTTTATTTTTTCGGATTCTTTAGAAAATTTTTTCTTATTGTTGAAGAAATTCGATTCTTTAACCTATAAGAATCGATTATTTTTTTTTAACAATAATATAGAATCGATTATCGTTATTTTTTTTTGTTTTGTTTTACGGGGAGGGAATAAAAAAAAAAATTAAAAAAAATTCACCACTTTCTTCAGTTATTCTTTAGTAATAGTGTTGTGATGACATTCTTCACTTTTTCCATATTTTCCTTGTTTATAATATACTTTGAGTAGTTTAGCATATATGGACCTAAAGAAATTATAAAAAAAAAGAGAAATAAGGGGAATATTACTAGTTTTTTTTTTTAAATTTTCATAGTTATGTTTTTTTTTTTGGTTGTATGTAATTTGGTTTTTGTGTGATGAAAATGAAAAATATATATATATATTTTTGAAAGTATTAAACGATCCGTTATGATCCGATCCTTTAAAGGATAGATTTAATATATTTTCTCCACCTTTACGTAATATTATAGATTTAACGATTATGTGTGTATGTGATTTGTGATATATATTGTGATTAATGATTTTAATGATAAAAGATTTGTTTAATTAAATCATTTAAATGATACTCTATCCCTTAAGAGACCTGGTTCGATTCCGTGAAGTCTGAGTCTGTTAAAAAAGGTAGTTTCCTTTTCGGTACTGTGTAACCTCTTTTTGGTTTTTTATAGTGTTATTATGATCACGATCAAATTTACCGTATTAGATTAATAAATATGAATTCTCGAGTATAAAACAGTCAATATAACATATGTTTCGTCTCACCAAAGCCACGATTAATCATTTAAGCCACCACAATAATTTTTCAATCGTTTCTCTCGTCTCATTTCTCTATCATTTTTATCAAATGTAGATAAAGATAACAAAGCCTCCTCATTTCCATGCATCTTTCTTTGCCACCTTGCTAAGTCAATCAGCCATGCTTGTATAATGTGTCTTTAATGTCTTTTATGTGTGAGCATTATTTAAAGTGAAAAAAAAAGCTTTGCCCACACTGCCACTTGCTGCCACTTACTGCCACTCAAAATTCACAACAATTTCAACAATTATAAAAGGCTGGCAAATTCGCTCTTCCAATTGTTCCTTCCCTCTTTCCGTATTGACTTTCGTGTTTATAAACTTTTAAACATGCATCCGATATCCTTATAAAATAAAATAATAATAAATATATATGCGAGAATGAGAATGTGAATATGATATGTTAATATATGTATGCGCGCCTGTTTTCGTGGGGAAATAATGAATAATTTGTTAGTATAATCATAGTTTTCATTTCTCGATTCATTATAATCTAATTAATTAATTTGTTTATTAATTAATTTAATCAATTTATCTCATTCTAGGTGTCTCTCGTAAAATACTTCACCATAATACAACTAATACGACTATTATGATTATTGAGTGACGAGTGACCAATTCTGTTTTTTACCAATTCGAGGTTTGTAAAATCGTTATTATGATAAAAAGCAAAATTACATCTAAATAAATGTTTACATAAATTTCTCATTCCATTATCTCTAAGAAGGCAAAAAAAAAAGTGACAACCACCACCACCACCATCTCTTTATCCATTCTCATTCTCGGTTTTCATTCGTCCATAATTTCACGAAATCAACAAAATCATCACAAACATCATTATCGCGGAACAAAACACCGATTCGGAAAAAGGGTCATTTATATAGAAGTTGGGAGATTCAATCTTCCCGTATTATGTATTTTAGATATATATATATATATATACATTTACAAATTAGATTATATATAGAATTTTAATTTATTAATTATTTTTATTTAATTTCTAATTTAATCCTTCGGGCCATATTATATATAGAATTCTTATTTAATTTAATTTTATTTAATTTTATTTTACTAATTTAATCCTTTGAGCCATATTATAAATATTTTTTTTATATACATTTACAAATTAGATTATATATAGAATTTTAATTTATTAATTATTTTTATTTAATTTCTAATTTAATCCTTCGGGCCATATTATATATAGAATTCTTATTTAATTTAATTTTATTTAATTTTATTTTACTAATTTAATCCTTTGAGCCATATTATAAATATTTTTTTTATATAATTTATCTAATTAATTCCTAATTTTTTTAATTTATAACATTTAATACTTAATTAATTAACCTTAACTAATCTATTTATTCAATACTTAATTTTAGTAACAATTTTAATACTTAATTTCTTGTAAATAATTTTTATTTAATTATTTTAATACCCAATTTCTTGTAAATATTTAAAACCCAATTTCTTGTAAATATTTAATACCCAATTTCTTGTAAATATTTTTTTATTTCTATTTTTCGTATTGTATGGGACAAGGGGAGAGATTGTCCACAGACACTTTTAATCAGATTAGATAGATTTAGATTCTTTATAGATTATCATAATGAAATTTCCCCCAATCAATTTATAAATAATTTTCTATAAAATAAATAAACAAACTTCGTTATTTTTTGTAATTAGAATTGTTCATAATAAATTGTTCATCTATTTTTAATAAAAAATTCAAGATTTCATTGTGTTTGATGGATTCATCAATCAGACACAAATATTTAAAATTCTAAACATATTCTCACATTTTGCTCTTTTTGGAGATAATATTTAAAATTGAACGAAACGCCGATTAACGTTACAATTAATCTCAACCTCATTGTGGCGTGGGTATCGTAAAGAAAAAAGATTTTTATTAACCCTTAGATTTTATTACATAAGGCAAATTATCATTGCTAGTTCAGCCCCTTTTTTTTTTATTGCTGGGGCTAAATCATGAGAACTTTGAGCAATTGCTATATAAATCATACTAGTATCTAAATAATCTTTTAGAATAATTCCGGGATGAAAATCACGATGAACCATATCTAATTCATGAATCTTATTAAATTCTTTAGCTAAATCTTTTAAATAATTTCTAAGACTTCCACCTTTATAATAACATCTAAATAACATTTTTTAAATTATTATTAATATATTATATTTTCAAATAAATCATTTAAAAAATCTTCATTAATATCTATAATATCATCAAACTTTTTAAATACCACTTCAAGTGACCACATCTTATTTTCGATATCCCAATCATAAATAAATCCATCAACCCACTTAGAATAATAAATAATACCATAACCACCTTTTACTATTTGTTTAATATCTTGAAATCTATCATAAGGTATCCATTCTAGATTGCATTCTGGCAATTCCATTTTCTGTTCGCTAATTGCCTGGAGGTTAGCGTATGACATTTAATGGACGAGTAAGTTCTGATCTTGATGCATAATTTTATTCGCAAAATATAAAATATCAAAATGTAACTCGGGATAGATGTCTGTCCGATTTTTAGATAACGATTGTCAGATAAATAACACAAATGAAAATATAAATAAATCAAAGAATTTTTATATTTATTTATTTCATTACATTAGACAGAATGATATTCCTTAATTATATTTATCAATCGAATTTGGCAACTTTAAGAATTTTTGAGTTAAACAGAATTTAACGTTAATATCAACGCAACGCCACTAAACAAACAATCCAATCTTTACTATAACTGATAAGCAAAGGTAACACTACACTTTCATTTTCGGTATTGTATTTTTGTTATTATTATTTCTATAATATCTCTTTGATCAATATATCATAGTGAGGTACTAGTTTATATTGTTATGATTAAATTTCGATATTCAAGTTAATTATTATAAAACGTTCTCTTAATATTCATTTCTTCAAATTTCTCAATAATTGAATTGAATTGATATAATATTTTTCTAGATATCAAACAAAATGTGCAAAATCTCATTTTAACGTATTCAAATTTAAATTTCTCGAATATATATTATCTTATCTATTTTACATGACGTTACCATTTATATAATATATTAAATAGTATAGTGGTTTTATTATTATTGTTGTTGTTATTATCTTCTTATTATATCTTCGATACAATATGCTAAAATAAGCTTATACTAATAAATATATGCTCGCATTCGATACTATCTTTAATTTAATATCTTTAATATATTATTTTATAAAAATAAAAATAGATATCGCATTGCAAATTTCAATTATTATATCGTTTCAAACTAAATATTAAATTAAGACTTCTTCAACGAAAATTATCTTTACCTATATTTTGATATTAATCTTTCTATAAATTTTCGTTAATAAAATAAATAGATAAATTAAAAAAAATAAAAAATCAGAAATAAATTTATTTATTCACTCCCCATTTCAATAGAAATGACTTTTATAACTTGATCTGGTACGTATTCTAAATATCTTTTTCTTTCATTCTTAATGTATCATTTTACTTTCATTTCCTATTATTTAAGAAGATTAAAAATGTTTTAATACCAAATTACAAAGTGATCTTGTTAGATCTGAAAAGTTTAATAAATATGACTTCTCGAGTATAATACAGTCAACATATAACGTCTCACCAAAGCCACAATTAAATATCATTTAAGCCACCATGAATAATAATCTTCAATCGTTTCTCCATCTCATTTCTTTATCATTTTATCATATGTAAATAAGCCTCCTCATTTCCATGCATCTTTCTTTACCACCTTGCTAATTCAATCAGCCACGCTTGTATAATGTGTCTTTAATGTGTCTTTAATGTGTCTTTTATGTGTCTGTTATGTCCGTTATGTGTGTGCGATTTTTAAAGTAAAAAAAAACGCTTTGCCCGCACTGCCACTTGCTGCCACTTTTTTTTTTTTACTCAAAATTCACAACATTCACAACAATTTCAACAATTATAAAAGACTGGCAAATTCGCTCTCCCAATTATTCCTTCCCTCTTTCCGTATTGACTTTTGTGTTTATAAACTTTTAAACATGCATCCTATATCCTTATTATAATAATAATAAATAAATAGGAAATGTGAGAATGAGAATGTTTATATGTATGTTCGCCTGTTTGTGTGATGAGATAATGAATAATTTGTAAGTATAATTATAATTTTCATTTCTAGATTTATTTAATTTAATTAATTAATTTGTTTGCTATCTCATATTCTAGTTGTTTCTCGTAAGGGTAAATACTTCACGTAACGACTACCATAATATAACTAATACGACTATTATGATTACTGAGTGACTAGCGTGACTAAATCGAGGTTTGTTAATTTGTCATTATGATAAAAAGCAAAATTACGTCTAAATAAATGTTTACATAAATTTCTCATTCCATCATTTCTAAGAAGGCAAAAAAACGTGACAACCACCCCACCACCACCTTTTTATCCATTCTCATTCGTCCATAATATCACGATGACAGTAACAAATTATCACAATCAATATCATCTCGGAACAAAACATCAATTCGGAAAAAGGGTCAAAATTTTATAGAAGTTGGAAGATATCCAATCTTCCCATGTAATGTATATATAGATATTATATATCTATTTTTATAAATTAGATTACATATAGAATTTTAATTTATTTATTTTTTATTTTATTTGATTTCTAATTTAATCCTTCGGGCCATATTTTATATAGAATTCTTATTTATTTTTATTTTATTTTATTTTATTTAATTCTTAATTTAATCCTTCGGGCCATATTATAAAAGTATTTTTTAATATAATTCCTAATTTTTCTTAATTTAATACCTGACTAATTAATTAATCTATATATTTAATATAATACTTAATTTTGGTAACATTTAATTTATAACTTCTAATACCCAGTATCACCAATTTTTCCACATGATTTCTTGTAAATATTTTTTATATTTTTGTAAATATTTATTTAATTATTTTAATACCTAATTTCTTGTAAATACTTATATAAATATTTTGATAATTTCTTGTAAATATTTATTTAATATTTAATTCTTGTAAATACTCATTACCCAATTTCTTGTAAATATTTTTCTCTTTTATTTTTCGTATTGTGGGACGTGGCGAAGGGAGACTCCACCACACTTTTTTATTAGACCAGATCAGATTATTATTAGATTTAGATTTTTTATAGATTATTATTATATTAATTATTTAATACTTTAATTTCTTAATTACATATTAATATATTATCTAATGAAATTTCCTCAACCAATTTGTAAATAATTTTCCATAAAATAAATAAAAAAAACTTTGTCAAATCAAAATCTTTCAAAGAAAAATCAAAATCTCAAAATTTTAATACTTGAAAACACTTTAAATGGTATAGACTCTTATTGCACCCTACATGAATAAAATTATTTAAAGTAAACATCACATGATAAAACAGGATAAAAGTCTATATCTTGGGAACAGAGAAAATATGCCCTTTTAAGTAACGTGATGCAAATAATATTTGTTCGATGTTATTTAAGACGTGATCCGGCTAAGATCGGCACTCGTTTTATAATAAAATCCGAGGATAAGTTATTTAATAAAACTATAAATCATCTGCTGCCCTATAGGTAAGTATAAATTGGTACAACGAAATCAAAGATTAAGTTTTATATCTGCTAAGTATACTATTTGTCTATTGTTTTGATGAATTTTTCAAAAAATAAGATACTTTCTTATACACTGAAAAAATCAATTTTTTAAAATTATTATGTTTTTGACCCATAAAAGATTTGAAACATATATAAATTTACCTCACTTTTTTTTGTCGTTGAGTACCTAAATCAAATCCAAACCCTATGTGGTTAATAAATTAGTTGCGCACGTTACTTAAAGTATCAAAACTTTGCATCAAGCACCTGCTAAACTATGGACCAATCAAATTCGAATATCTTAGGGTCTAGGATAAAAAACAGATGCATACAAAGAGAAGCGTCGTTGCATTAACATTTGCATTGTTCCATCACTATTGGTTAATTGATGATCAGTTCAACGTTGCTTTTTCTAATGTATAGTTATTAAAATTTATTAAAATTTGATTTCGTGAGACAAAATCAAATGGAAGGAAAGGAAACTGAATCCGATGTTTGTATAATAATAAAAATTATAATTAAATATTTCCCTTCACGTAAATCTCTTTGGGTTCTGGAAAATATTTAATGCATTCGAAATTTATTAAACGTAGACTTAAATGAAAATTTGTTTTATTATATAAAATATTTGGTATATGATTGTACATACAACAATTGTACACTACATAAATGAAAGTTGTATTTTATTTTTCACCTACATATACCAACATATAAAATTAATTTTCTTTTTTTTTTTTTTTAGGTTTACCATCTATGAACTTCTTTTGCCCTTTTTCTATATTAATTCGCGAGGATGTGAATTACATAAGAATGAATTTAGTTTTCGACCGTATAACGAAAGGCTATTCTTCTTGTAAATTTCATTCTAAGTGGCAACAAATTCTTATAACATTCATGAAGACATATTGTACATGATTGCACTCTCACTTTTATTATCAAAAGATTATTTCAGAGTACAAACGATAAGTACAGTACAATAGTACGATACAATATAAGTAATTTAATAATAATAATATTGAATATATGATTAATACAAAGTAATAATACAGTTAGAAAACAATAAATACAGTTATAAAGTAATACAAGAAATAATAAAATAACTGATGATAATAATTAATTATTGACCCGGCTCCATAAAACAAATAGTAATAAAACAAGCTGCTAAACATAACGTAGTTAATATAGTACCTATTATGACACTACCTCGACTAGCAGGAAATTGACCGTAAGTCATTAAATATTGAGAACGAAAATATCGACAAATTCCAAAAATTAAAAAAACGAAGCCAAGAATTATAAAAGCGATTCCTAAAGGTTTTCCAAGTTTATCTCCATTCGATTTATCACTACCAGATGTTAATCTGAATAATTGTGTTACGGCTGAAAATATATATATATATATATATTAATTAATTAATTTATTGATTAGTATGAATTAATTAATCTCACTTATTCACTCACCTACTCCAATACTAATAAATGAAAGAGATGTTCGAAGCCATGCTAAAAAAGTTCTCTCATTGGCTACAAAATTATAATAAAATTAATGTTAATTACGATTACGATAATAATGTAATAATGTTAACGTTAACATTAATAATTACGATAATAATAATAATAATAAAAAACAAACTAATTAATTAATTACCTAAATGATCTCTAGCCACACTTGCAGTATTCTTCAACTTCAAAGAAGGATCCCATTCATCTAATTTCTTTTTTGCCCAACTTTTAAATGATCTATTCTCTTCTTTCTTATTAGGATTATCATAATCATCATCATAATCATTATTATTATTTGTATATTCGGTAGATTTCTTATGAAATGAAGTTGAAGAAGTTGAAGAACGAGATAAATTTTGTTGATTGGATTGAAGATCGGATTTTTCCTCTATTTCTTTTCCTCCACTTCCCTTTCCTCCAAATTTATTATTATTATCATCAATATTAATATTATCGTTATCCATTTCGTAATTGTGAATAGAAGAACGACGACGTAATGTATGTTTGGAAGTATTTGACATTTGATATTTATATTATTTTTTTTTAACTATACATATAATTAAACTATTAAAAAATTAAATTAAATAATTAAACTATAGTTGGTAAAAAAAATATATATATAAATATATATTGAAATATATATTGTATTGTATTGTTGTTGGTTGAAGTTTAAAAATACCTTAAAACGAATAAATGTTAATATAAAAGTCAAAAAAAAATCCTTTGTTATACTAATAAACTCAACAAACGACTGCAAAAGAAAACCGCCAGTAAAAAACTGCAAAAATTATAGAATAAATAATTTAAGTTATTAAAAGCTAATAAAAGTTTTGGAGGCGTCTTTAAATAATGCAATTCTTGCATCAATAATTTCCAAAAAGTGAGATTATCTACAATAGTTACATAATAAATAATCAAACATAGAATATAAAATACACAACAGCGCTGGTGATACCATACTTAAGTTGTGCTAGATATCAATATATTATTCATAATAATTATTGGAGTATTATTGTAATTTGTAAAAAAGAAATTCTTCAAGATTAAAGTATTCTTCATCAGAAATTGTTCTGTCATCGTCATAATGATTTGTTTAAGGCACTTAGTATGCCACCATCTATGTCATCATCATCACTAATCCAGGATTCTTGATCGATCGTCCCGAATTAGTGATGATACACATCGCTTCTTCAATATTATTATTATTATTATTAAGTACAGAACAAGTACTGCAACTAGTACTACGAAATTTCAAATTTAGTAACATTTAGTACAATTAAATCATATGACATTTAAAGATTTTGATTGATAATGATTTTGCTGATCTGAAATTGGGTTGTACTAAATGTACTAAATATTTTTAGTACAAATAGTACAGATATATAAAAAATTTTTTTTTGACTTCGCTCACGATTTGCGAAGCGTAGAACGATTTTCTACTAGGCTATTTCTATGATAGATAGAATGACCTTGTTTTTGACTACAAAATGATGTGTTTCATCTCTATAGCATCGACATTCGCGCAGATAACCCAGTTTAAAGAAAAACGTCTGTGAAAAATCGTTGAATTCCCGATTTTTCACGGACGCTTTTCTTTAAACTGGACGATCTCCGCGAATATCGATACTATTGGGATGAAACATATATCATTCTGTAGCCAAGAACAAGGCAGTTCTTTATATCTAAGAAATCCTTAGTAGAAAATCGCGCTTTGCAAATCATAGAGTGATTTTCTATTAAGATTATATATAACTATTTATTTCAAAAAAAAAAATATATATATATATATTAAATAATACTCGCTTGATCCAGTAGCTATAAATATATAATGTAATTTTTTAATTGCGAATGCAAAATTCTACTAAATAATTACTTAATCAATTTAATCAAATGTACCTTTGTCCATGTTTAATAAGTGCTTTTAAGATAAGAGAAAGAGTTAAATGATTTTAAATTTGACAGTTATAATTGACTCACTAAAGGTCACGTATTATCGTTTTTTTTTGATTATCGTACACGTGCTTTCCATGTTAACACATATCATTTCTTTCACTTGCGGAATTGCTTGTAAAAATAACAAATGAAACACGTAAAAATCGCATAGAGACACACTTTAACGTCATTAATATCTAAGTATCTAAATTATATCTATCACTAGATCGTTCGTTTTTCTCGATTATCTTATGTAATATTTGTTATTTGTATTATTATTTATATTTTTCTGTTCGATATATTTCGTTGACATACATTTTATAAAGTGATAAAATATACATTATTTTATTTATTTTTAAAAAGAAATAAAGTGATAATAAAGTTTATTTTAAAAAATGTAAAGAACGAAACAAAGGTTTGAAACATTTGACAGTATATAAAGAGTGTGTTCTCTAAACATATTTATCAAAGATAAGCCTACTGTGTATTTGATTCGATTTACCAAAGCGAGAAGAATCGATAAAATAACGATAAAAAACTCATGAAGAACGCGAAATAATTCTATCCAATTCAAATTAAAATAATTAAAATATAACATATAATACATACATACATATATATATATATATACACTCCTTTAACATTTATTAAATTGATAAATTATTAATAATATTATTACTATTATTATTACATGATTTATAAATTAAAATGGAAGAAAGGTTATTATTCTATTTTATATTGTATATACAGTATAAAAATAATATCAGATAATTACAATGGAATCAAATAATAATAATAAAATAATAATAATAATAATAATAATAAATAATAATAAATCTTGAATAAAAGATTTTAAATGAAAAAATTTTTATATCAAATAAAAATTTCCATCATGCCAAAATGAATAAAATGAATTTAAAATTCTTCTACTTCTTCTGGATCGAAGAAATCATTTTCATCACTAGAAATCGTTCGATCATCATCGTCATCGTTAAAATCATTACCATTATAATTATATCGATTATATCGATTATATTGATCATATTGATCAAATTGATCGTATTTATTTAATATCTTTAAGATGTCATTGTCAAAATCTTCACCATCGCTAATCCGAGTTTCTTCTTCTAACAGCTCTTCGATCAATCTTTCATCTCGAATTAACAATGGTGTCCATGTTATATCATCATCATTCTTATTGTTATTGTTATTATTATTATTATTATTGCCGAGTCCTAAAAATCATAAATATTAAAATTAATTTATAAAATATATTTGAATAGATATAATTATTTTGTATTATATCATACATTTTACCTTCATTACCTTCATTGTCGTTGCTAATTCTTAGCACCCGCTTGAAAAGATCCAATACTTGATCGAAAGCGAATGAGAAACTTGAATTGGTAGCTACATTTTTGTATTTTATATATTTTTTTTAGATTTATATTTATATTTATATTTTTATATTTTTTTTTTTTTATATTTATATTTACATATTCAACGATAATACAATATATGCGATATTTAATAAAGTTTTGTTAAAATTTTTAAGCACTTTAATAAACTAATATACCTCTATCCATATTTATTATATTAATTTTATATATAAATGTGAATTAGAAGTCTTCTAATATAAAGGGTTGTGGTTAGAGTTGTAATGGAAGACTTGGTCGAAGTACTCGGTAAATTCAAAACAAACTACTTACATTGGCACGTGCTTTCACGTTAACAACGAATCAAAAAGTGATTGTGACAGAGATAAATAAGATCGTGACATAATTCATAATCTTATTAGTTTTATTACAGTATTCTCTATCTTATTATTATAATAATAATTACTTCAAAATTCAGTTGTAATTCTTTAAATTTGAAGCTTCATTCTTTATTTTTTTGCTAATTAGTTATTTTTAGTCATTAATTATAATAATATAAAACTCTATATAATAATAATAATAATATACATCCAATGAAATCTGATTTTTGAAGTCTACTCATTATTACTCATTATCATCCTCCCCTTCTTCTTTATATAATTTTCATTCAATCGGTTTTTTTTTCCATCTTTTTTTTACAAGTCTCCTAAAAAACGAATAAAATAATTAACATCACATAAAATATTAAATTAAAACCAAATAAATATTAAAATTAACCAAATAAATATTAAAGAAATAAATGGAAAAAACATACTTAGAATGCATAAAATGTTTAATAGTAAATAAAACACCAAGTATTCCAGAAATACATCCAACAATTATGTAAGCGCATCCTAAGAAAGGATTTTTACCACCTATAGGAGATATTGTTGAAATTACTAATGCTTTTGTACCTTCATAACCTTTTACTGGAAATACTATTAAACAATAAATATAATTAATTAATATAATTAATATATTATATGATCGATATTATATTATATATTATAAAATATTATATTATATATTATAAAATATTATATTATATATTATTAAATAAGAATAATTACCAGTATCGATATCAACTTGATAATAACCAATTTCTAATCCTTGAGTTTCATTTTTACCATATAATTTTCTAAAAATCGGTAATCCCGCGGCATGCATCCAAACTTGAAAATGTTCATCATCCTTAGGATTTATGGGAGGAAATTCTGAAGTGTAAGTACCATTAGGATATCTTAATATCCAATTTGGTGGAGGTCTAATTTGAGTTAAATTATATTTAGTTGGAGAATATTTAGCTGATTCGATTGGATTTGATATTCCCTTCGAGGTGAATTCATATATTTCACCATTATTCTTATTATTGTTGTTGTTGTTGTTGTTGTTGTTGTTGTTGTTATCGCTGTTGTTGTTGATTCTCGTTAAATGACTAAATGTGTCTATAATTATAAATTATAATAAATTATAAATTTTAATAAATATTAATTCCTCTAACAATAAATAAATCAATAAATAAATCAATAAATAAATAAAATATATTTACCATTAAATAAAGAATTGGCAATTAATCCACAAGGATAAATAATAATTCCATCAATTTGTGCCATACTTTCACATCCACCTTTTTCAAGATGATTTAAAGAAAGATCATTCCCTTTTAATTGATCAGTATCTAAACTTTTAACATAAACTCGTTCATTTTGAAAAAAATTGGTTAATCTATAATATAAATAAATTGGTGGATTCATTCGTTTATGTAAATAAAATTGAATTGAACATTGAGGAATTGTTATATTATTAGGATTTATTGAATAGGGATGAGTTATATTTAGTTTTCTCCAATAGAAATAAGGAATATTATTATTATTATTATTATTATTATCCGCATCAGAATTTGAAACATATTTGGATGGAATTATGCTAAAAGTTTCGTTAGCTTCTATGTCACAAAAGGTGTAATCTATAACTATTTCTGATACCTTATTATAGTTAAATTAATTAAAAGTTATTTCATTATTAATAATTAATTAAAGTTATTTCATTATTAATTAATTATTTTATTAATTATTATCATAATTACCTTATCACTATAATAAAATAAAACTCCACCCAAAGGAGTAAATATTATTGCAATAATAAAAAATAATGGAAAAATTGTTTTTGGAGTTATAATCGGTTGACACGCTCGTAATTTTTGTTGTTTGAAAGCTGAACCTAAAATTAAAATAAAAATATTAAAATAAATATTAAACTAAATAAATAATAAAATTATATATTTTATTCATTTTAATATTATTTGAAAAAAAAAAGACAAAAAAATACCTCCAGGTTTTCTTGATTTTTTCTCTTCCGCCATTTTTTTTTATATTTAAATATATACTATTTTTATGATATATAATAAATTAATTGTATTTATAATTGTGAATATAGACTATGTAATTGTATATATAATTGTATATGTTGTATTTGTATATATATATGAATATATTATGCGAAGAAAAATTCGGATAATTTTGATTTAGAGAGAGAAAGTAACTTACAGTAATTTACGTAATTTATTAAAAATGAAAGTCATTACCATTTAAAGCGAAATAATGATTACATTCTGGTAGGGGTTTCCTGTCTTTTGAAATGATGAACTAAATTAGGCAAAAAAAAATTTCCGACATTGTATACGAAAACGTGATCGAGAGTGATTTAATTGGCTAATATAGAGTGTTAATGAGTTGACTATATATATCTCCAAAATTGTTGAAAATTGCTAAATATCACCATAGGTGATAGTCACCACTGGGCAAAATTAAATTTATGTGAGCGAAGTTAGGATTAGGTTTGATCAAGGAATTATGAAATTTTGCCTAGTGGTAACAATTATCTTCAGTGATATTTAGCAATACTCTATATTGTTAGCCTATTTCTCACTTGGATAAATTTTTTTAATAATCTCTTATAATTGTCATATAACATCACATCATCTAGATTACACTTGTATGTAAAATTATTTTGAAGTCCTGAAATTACAATTTTGGAAAAAAAAGTTGAAATAGTTTTTACTTAAAATCCAAAATTTTTTAACTATTCAAATAAATTTTTTGACTTAACTAGGTATTATTTTTACTTTCATAGATTCTGTGTAAATCTCAAAAAGATAAAATATTCCAAAAATCAAAAATCAATTTTGAAAATATATATAATCTAGATATCAATTTTTATTATATTTTTTTAAACAGTTTTTTTTAAGATTAGAAAATCTTATTTGTCATATTAATTTTTATCAGATGAATAAAAATAAGAAACGAGAGCTCATCTGGATAAAGAATATGTATACTCTTATTATTATTTATTAGAATTACAGTTATTAGTAGATCAATTTAGTCATGTTGTTAATCCTAATAACCAACTTTTATTTGTTATGTTTTTTTTTATCTTATTTATTATATTATTATTTTGTCATCATGTATTTATTAGTCTATTTATATTTTATTAGCTTAATTTCTTATTTTATTAGTATATATTTACAGGAAAATATTAATGTAAATCACTTTGAAATTGGTATATACGTGTTGCCCAAATCCCAAATCATTTGGAATTTGGAATGCCAAAATCCCAAATTACTAGTATTTGGGATTTTGGCAAAAAATACTAATCATAATTTGGGATTTGGGATTTGGAATTTCGGCATTTGGAATTTTGGCATTTGGATTTTGAATTTGGATGGCAAGTATAAATTGGTATAACTATTAAGTATTATAATTGTAGATCTGAGTATAATCAATAGTGTAATGTACAGCATAATCAATAGTGTATTCAATAATATAATATATAGTGTAATAGATAGTATAACAGAAAGTATAGTTAATAATGTATACATTAGTGTAATTAATAGTATATGCATTAGTGTAGTCTATAGTAGAATCTATTATAACTTCAATTATATATATAAAGGACTAAATTTCTCTTTGCTCAGTTCTCAATTAGTTCAGTTCAAATAGTTAGTTAGTTAGTTTAATAGTTGATTCTCAGTTCTTTTACTAATCTTGTTAATAAAATACTTTGTGATTTATCTTATAAATAATAAATACCTGTGTAAATTGTTATTTATATCATTATAATTTTTTAGTAAAATTCTATATTATTCCTTAGTGAAATACTGAAATCCTTGTGTTATAATTTTCTACTTAGTGTTAGAAATTAATAGTTTAGTTTAGTTTGTATCTTATTCTTTGTAAATAATTTAATCAAACCTTTATAAAAATCTTATAGTTTTGCTTCTTTCAAACAAATTTGTAATATCTAAATCCTTCAAATATCATACTTTTTGTAATATAAATTAGTTAGTAATAATATATTTTAATTTAACTACTATATCTTTAGCTAATAGTTAATTATATCTCTTGAAGGTCAGATTACAGTTAACAATGTAATACAAATTATAATTTATTACTTAAAATAGTTTACAAAATAATAATGTTAACTTAATATTGTTACAAATAATATCTGGTTCCCTTGAGAACAAGTCAGTTAAGTAACTTTTAAGAAATTTATAATCCTTTTTCAAAAATAAGATTGTTGTTTGATTGTTTTAGAAAGTATCATTAATTCAATTATTTTAGAAAAGAAATTAAACCTTTTATCTAATTTATTTTAATATCTTTTAAGTTCAATATTATATGGTGATTGAGAATTGAATCTTGATATTTATTCATTGGTAATATTTCAGTTTATGGTTGTAAGGTTAGTTAATATTTTTTTTATTAATAAGTTAATTAGTATTTGATTAATATTAATTAGTTAAGTATTATTTGATTAAGTATTAATTAATTGAGTATTATTTAATTGAGTATTATTTGATTGAATATTATTTGATTAAGTATTATTTAGTTGAGTATTAATTCAATTTGTCATTTTATAAATAAACTTGATTAAAAATAACTTTTATAATTGAGATTCTTTTTATTAATTGTTTATTTATTATTCATTATAATTTATTATTCATTTTATAGTTATTATATTTTAATAAATATTTTATTATTTTAATTACAAGATAATTTTTACAAATTATTATCTTAAAATTACAAATTATAAAATTAAAATTATAAAATTCAAAAATTACAAATTGTAAGTTTGAAAAATCAAGATAGAACTTTGATTCTTTTTATAAATATTCTAGATAATCTATATTACTGTATCATTATTGTACTTTATATAGGTCAAATATAAAAAATAACTATAACAAAAAAAAAGTCTAATTTTAATTGATTTATAATATGGGATATACAGTAAAACCTGTCTAAATGCATACTGCATACAAGTATAACCTGTCTAAATACATAAAATTCTCATATCCCAAGTTGAACAATATTAGTTAAGAGCATATGTATAAAGTGCATATACATAAATAAAATCCTGACCTATTATTGAACCAATAGACGTTGTTACAGAATGAAAATACAATGATAAAATAATATTAAAAACACCTGCAATAATTTATAATAACCCTTAAGATAATATTTAATATTAGTTCATGTAACAAATAGTAATAATTTAATAATTACTTTTAGCAAATATTTATAGCCTGTAGCACACATTAGTTAGTCACGAAATAGTAGTACAAGATC